TTTCTGATAGTCTGTCTGAATCAAAAGTTTCAAATATTATTATCCTTTTATTTTCATATTGCATCAATAACAAAATTGAGAAAAGTTTTCATTCAACAATGATATTGTCAATAGATTATGGAATGCGTAATTTTCGGAGTTTATGTTAAGACACTTCTGTGTAGTTGAGAAAATCTATGGCAATCTGTTGTTTGACAATTTCCCTCCCCAGAATAACTCATTCTCAAAATGATTGAATATTTACCGAGACGAAGAAAATACAAAATACTCCGATCCTTGCCAACTCATCAGCACCGTCTGTGATAATTAAATACATATATTTTTTTTAATTATGCAATTTTTTTCCTAAATCCACTGTGCTCCGGATATTTACTTTGTTTTTGTTATTCTGGAGGTTTGAGTTGCCGTTGCCGGCATTGAAAATCCGTCCAAATTCCCCCACTCTACCCAATCACTGGAGCACGAACTAAAACCATCGAGGTACGAACCGCTCGTTCGTTTCGGTCCTATACTCCGTGCAATCCACTATTGCCAACCAACGTCTAGTTACTCCTAGAACTTAATTTGAAGACTCATCAAAATAAGTTCTGGGAGTAACTAGAGGTTTGTTGCTAGAGGTTGGGTTGGGTCGTTCATTTCGATCCCACCCAAGCAATACAGTTCTGGAGGGTATCTGCAAGTATACCAAAAAGGCTGTCTAATGTCTGTCCAAAAAGGTAACTTGTGTCTAGAAGTTACCTAGAAGTTAACTAAAAGTTATCGTATGACTGCAAGATACCTTTTGGACGGACATTAGTCTGCCTTTTTGGTATACTTTCAGATATCTCGCAAGGTTTGCTACTTGGGCATTCTCCCATGCAACCCAACCTCACCAGAAAACGTCTAGTTACTCCCAGAACTTAATTTGACGACTGTACGTACTCCATACAGGGTGCGTTTCGGAATCAACTACGTAGCTGCAGTAAAGCAAAATTAGATAGGGTTGCAGTACTGCTACTGCTACTACGTCGATTGCGAAACGCGCCCAATCTCTGACGGCAGTCAGGACTACCCAACCTTAACTAATGGTATTTCCAGAGATAATAGGGGAGATTGCTCAGGCTTATGGGAACTGTTCGATCAGAGTTTCATAGCGGTGGCGCGCATGAACTAATCGAGAGGCCGTGTCTGTGGGTAAAGAAATTTT